ATGTTCCCAGATTTTTAAAAATGTGCTTTTTCTGATTTAAAAATTACTGTGCTGCAGCTCAGGATTGTATAGTTTGTAATTATAATCATTATGTTATTCAAAGCAGCTTAAAGAATCTCCTGATAGCTGTTGGAAATTTTAAGCAGATATTTCTTTTTAGCTGCACTGAGCCCGTGTGCCTCCTCCTGTATCTGCCCAGATTGGGGTGATATCAGGAGAAATGTACATTGAAATGGTGTAAAAGCATTCCAGATCAAACAGGACATGAGCCTGCCAAGCTGTCAGGTGATGCTGTCTGGCTTTTTGTGGACTTCTATTCATTCCCTTTCTTGCTTGCTAGCTTTCACTAAGTTAAAATTATTAATAACAGCCACCAGATTATTACCTCATACTCCCTCTTGCTCACTGTTACTGAAGTGCTTTAACCTGTTCTTGTGCCTCCTCCTCTCCTTCTTCCCCTTTTCACCACAAGCACATTCAAATTTTTTCTAACTTTCCCTTTAATAACCTATGCCTCTCTTCCTTTTTTTATTTTCAATTTTTTCTTTCTAAACCCTTCTATAAAATTAAATTCTATTCATGCACAGGAGGTTTCTCAGGCCAGTTTTGAATTTTCTTGAGATGAAGTGCAGCCCAGGTGAGTATCTGGGTGTTTGCTCAAACCTCCAGGCTCCTGGGCAGGTTTGGAGTTCTCCAATCCCTGCAGAGATGGAAATCCAGCTGCTGCCACCTCAGCTGGGCTGAGAATGGAAATTCTGGGCAGTTTGGAGCCCTCCAATCCTTGCAGAGATGGAAATCCAGCTGCTGCCATCTCAGCTGGGCTGAGAATGGAAATTCTGGGCAGTTTGGAGCCCTCCAATCCTTGCAGAGATGGAAATCCAGCTGCTGCCACCTCAGCTGGGCTCCCTGCCTGTGATGGGTTCCCTATTCGTCCTTTTCTATTCCTTCTTTTCCATTTTTTCTCTTCCCTATTCTTTCCTTTCCTTTCCTTTGGATTTTTCCTTCCTTTCATCTCCTCCCTGTAGAACACTTTTCCATCAGCTTTGCTGATCTATTTCTGGCCCACTTTTAAGCTTTTTAAAGTCCTGTTCTCCTTCCACAAGGTTCTGGAAACGTCCTTTCAGATATTTTATGGGCACAAGGGTCCCCTTGGTCCCTCTTTGTGTTTCTGAGCCTCCTTTGAGGCTGTGCTGCCAGGTTCTCCCTCTCCTGGGGAGCTCCAGCTCACCTGGATGCTACTTTTGGGATAAATGGATCCATTTTAGGGCTCCATCAGCTTTTTTTTTTTGTGCCAAAGGAGTCCCAGCCCTTTGCAGCCTTGACTTGTAGGTTTTCAGCATCTCAGTTTTAAGGCCTGCACATTTTCTGTGACTTTGGCCAAGGCACATTCAAAATTGTGGGAAAAAAGAGCTCCATGTTTTAAAATTTTTTACCTCTCTGCATTTGAGTTTTCTGACAGATAGAGCTTCTGTTAAAAGGAATTTAAGATGAGAACATCACAATTTGCTGTCTTGGAATAAAACCCTGCCACAAATCACATCTGCATGTTAACAACTCTTTTGTGCTGCTTTTCACTCTGTGCATTTCAATAAAAACTCCAATCTTATACCTCAGCATGAATTTCAAGTTTATATGAACATTTTAAATAAATATTAGGTGCTTTAAATTCAATTTTGTTATTTAGGTGTATTAATATGATGTATTTTATTAATATTTCTTATTTTCTCCTTATCTGTAAGGTCAGTGCTGGGTCACTTTACACTGCAATAAGGACAGATAATCTAAATATAGAGTTAAGATGTTTGTGTCTTTTTCCCCTGTAAATACATAAAATTTCTTTCTGTAAATCCATGTAAGTCTATCTATAATTTCTAGAAAACCATAACAGCAGGAAAAAAATATTAAAAACCCAATTATTCTTCTGTAAGTATATGAGAAAACATTAGACAGACTCAAATCAATGGAGATGCAGGTTTTCTTTATTTTTTTTTCCCTATCAAAAGGACACCTCTAAAACAGTTTGGAAGCAAGAGCACCACATAGTTCAAGTAAATGTTCCCTGACAGATGGGTCATGTTCTAAAGGGCAGAGGATGGATTTTAAAATCTTGCTTTTCATATTTTTTTTAAAAAATCTGCTCAAATTTTCCTCTTTTAAGAAGCAGGCAGTTTTTTTGCTAGAGTTTATTCCTAAAAAAGAACATTTTACATTAATTTTTGTAGCACTTCTATCCTGTCTCCTTTCTGCGGAGTGTAAAATGCAAAAGCAAAATTTGGGGAAATTCTCTTGGTCTGATTGACTTCTCACCTGGGCCCTGGGGTTTGAGAGAGGCCACATTGAATCTCAACAATTAACAACTCAAAAATCAACTCAGAATTTCCTCCATCCTCTCAAAGGTTTTGATGAGATCTGGCCATTAATTCCTCTACTCCTAAAATTCCCTCTTCCCTTCAACCACCTCTGCTCCACCCGAATTTATCATTGTCAGATGAAAGGAACAGAAAAGAAAATTAAATGCATTTAAAATTTTGTTGTTTTCATTGGGCTGTGGATGATTGTCTCATGATTTTAAGTCATAAACATAATTTTTTATTCAGTGTGGAAGCTTGTCAGATTTAGGGACACTTTCCAAGAACTTGATCTAAGTTCAATCTGTTTCCTTCAGATTTTCTTCCATTGTTACAAACAATTTTTTTCAGCTGGAATAAAAACAAACTTTTCAGCTGAAAAATGAATTCTTTTTTTTTGGTTGTGCTTAAATTTCACGGTATCTACAGGTAATTCCTTTTATGTTAATGATAATATTTTGTATTATTTGCATGCTCTGTGTTGCCATTTATGTCAACATGGAGATCAAACTCTAACCTCACTGGTCAAGTCAAGGAATATATTTATTTTTTACCTGATTTTTCTTAATCAAGGTTTGGGGTTTTTTTAAATTTTTGTTTGTTTTTTTTTAACACTGAAAGGTCTTGGAAATATTACTCTGCAGCAGATCTTTGTAATTTTGTACAAGCTGGGCTAAATTTCAACCATCTGAAAAGGAAATAAAATCAGTGTTTGACTGTGGCTAGACTAGGCCATGTTTCTTTCTGTTAACAAACCAGAATATTCATCATATTTAATTCTAAGTCATATCTAATGAAAAAAAGGAGAGTGAATTCTGGTGTTACATCTGCTGAGACAGAATTACTTGCACTAATTTAAAACAATCAAGACAAAAGTGAATCTGCTGATTTGGAAAAGGAATCTAAAAATCCAACAGAGCCCAATTGAGATGATTAAGGTGAAACAGAACAAAATTCACAATTCCTTCCCAAAACCTCCATTGTGCTGCAGGAGGAAGTTGCAGGGTTGGTTTCTGAGTTGCATTTGAGGCTGGTAATGAGCAGCTGAAGGTATTGAACTTAAAAAAGTTTTTAAATTTCTTCCTTGAGTGCTGTAAAAGTGGTTTTGGTGAGGTTCTTGTGTTGCAGGTTTGGGTGGGCCAACAGTGGAAGGACATCCCTGCCCTTGGGAGCAGCCTTTGCCCTGCCTTTAGAAACTCAGTGTAAACTACAGAGAACTTGGCTAAAAACTCCCTTTATTTTCATTTCCTTCCTCTCTTAGTGGCTGTTCAGGCTCATCTTTCTTCCTTTGACTTTTGGTAGTTTTGTTATTGTTCACATGCAAGAGTAATTACTCAGCTGGTTAATGGATTATGATGCTCCAGTTTGTAATTTGAATACAGAAATCAACCTGGCTGTTAATTCTCTCTAGTGAGAAGTGATGAATAAACCAAATTAAACTTCAGTCAGAGGTGGGAGCGGAGTTGCTGAACCCCCCGGTACCTGGGTGAGGTGGAGAAGTGATGTCAAATCCCCGACTGGTCCCATTCTTCATGGAAATGGGAACAATTCTTCCCAGATCCCTGAGGAGAGGAGGCTCTGCTGGCCAGGCTGAGTTCTCCTCTCTCCCACCAGCTCTGGGATTTCTCTGGATTGTGACTGGAGTGTGCTCTTGCCTGTCCAGTATTTCTCCCAGTAAGAAGGAGAGCTATGTCACTTTCCTTTGGTGAATATTATCCATTTAAATTTTAATTGATATAAATAATTAGCAGATGTATACAAAGTAATTCAGAATTAACAGTTCAGAACAGAGTGGTTCTCTTAATGCTCTTTTGCTTTTGGCAGCAATAATGGACTTGCAGTTCTAGAAGCATCCCAGTGCATTTCTCTGTAGGGAAGACTGATGAATTAATATCAGGGAATTGTTTTTACTCAGTGTTCCTTAATATATTCATTATCAAATTGAAATGCTGAGAAACTCAGTTGACCCCAGTATTTTTTTAACAAGTGCTCCCTATAAGTGTGTTTAATTCAGAACATTCAGAAATTGTGTTGAAAATTGTTTAAAAAAAATTGTGTGTTAAAATTGTTTAATTTAATCTGGCAGGCTGTTGATGTGAATTTAATGCCATTGCTTTGCATTATTTAATGCCATACATTGTTTTAGTCCTTCCTGTCACCTTTAGTATTATTCTTATTCAGTGTTATTCATATTCTTCAATATTATTAATATTCTTCAGTATTCTTATTCTTAAGTATTATTCTTATTCAGTATTATTCTTATTCTTCAGTATTATTCATATTTTTCAGTATTATTCTTATTCTTCAGTATTATCTTATTCTTGTCCTGCAGGTTTTGGTGGCTCAGGTGAAGCTCTGAGTCCTCTGTCACAAAACAGAATTGGTGCTTTCTCCTTCCATTTGTTTAGTCTGGGTTCACCAAGGATGGGTCGCTCAGAAGAAAAATTAAAAGGACAAAGATTTCTGTTGATTTATTTACTTTCTCTTTTTCACAGATCTCTTTATTTGTCCTTTTCCTCCATTCTGCCACGTTTCATCAGCAGGCAGTGTTTGGAAAAGCAGCTCCATCCCCTCACCTTGTCACATCACAGCAAATTTCATTTCTTGTGGTACAGCCGACCTTCCCTAAACCGCTCCTTACCATCTCCGCAGGGTGTGGTACTGCAACAGGAGGAGCTGAGGATGAGGGGGAGGCCGAAGCCGGCTGGATTGAGGGTGCTGCCATCCTCCTGTCTGTCATCTGCGTGGTCCTGGTCACTGCCTTCAACGACTGGAGCAAGGAGAAGCAGTTCCGGGGGCTGCAGAGCCGCATCGAGCAGGAGCAGAAGTTCACCGTGGTGCGAGGGGGACAGGTCATCCAGATCCCCGTGGCGGAGATCGTGGTTGGGGACATTGCACAGGTCAAATACGGTGAGTGCACGGCCTTTGGAGCCTTGGCTTGCTCTGCTGGCCCTTCTGGACACGCTTCCCTGGCAGGGTTATAGGACAGAAAATCAGAGTTGGCCATACTGAGGTGACACCTGAGCTCTTAGGGCAAACGGAGAACATAAAGAGCTGCTGTAAAGTTGCACTAGGAAATCAATTCAATTGGTGGAAACTTCTTTCACTGACCAGGACAAGGATTGGTCAGATTTCCAGTTCCTTCCAGTTTTCTGTGTTTGTTCTTCCAGTTTCTGTATTTGTCCTTCTGGTTTTCTCTATTTATTCATACAAAGGTAATTATCACAGAGGATTACATTATTCAGATTAATTTATTTTTATTTCTGTGCAGTTAGAGGCAAGAGGAAGTGTTTTTAAATGTTGTGTAGAAGGGAATTGGGCCTCTGTGATCACCTCATGAGTTGCTTCAGATCCAGATTGACGCCCCAGATGGATGAGGTGCCTGATAATTCCATGCCATAGGGAAAGCCCTGTGCTCCAGTGGAGTGAGAGACTCCTGCAGGAACTCCTGCACACTCTGTGTGCTCTGGAAGAATTTGTTAATTCCAGCAATATCCCCCTTCCATCAGCCATCACATTTCTCCCGGACTTACCTAAGGGCTGCCTGAGTGGGGAAAGGGCAGCTCAGCTATTCATTAGTTGCTGTTAATTCCTATGAACTCTGATGGAGAAACCTTCAGGTGATGCGAGGAGCACTTCCCCGGCAAACCCCCCATGATGGAGATGTCCATTGTGAGTTAAATGTGATGCATTTGGATTTTGGGATAGAGTGAAGCAGAACATGTTTGCAGTAAAAGGCCTTTCCTGGCTGGACTGCAGTACTGTGGCTCGTGTGGACACCATCAGGAGCAATTCCTTCCCTTCTCCTTTCATTTCACCTTTTCATGCAATTAATTGTGATTTTATGACAAAACCCATAGTGTAATTCTAAAAACAATCTCATGGAGATTTTCCATTGCCCTGTTCTGACCACAGGTGACCTTCTACCTGCTGATGGGATATTTATTCAAGGCAATGACCTCAAAATCGATGAGAGCTCCTTGACTGGAGAGTCCGACCAGGTCCGCAAATCCGTGGACAAAGACCCAATGCTGCTGTCAGGTAAGATCTGCCCCACTGTGGAATCCCAGAGCACCAGGAATATTTCCCTCTCTGCTCTGGGGTGCCCTGACCCCCAGGGAAGCTCTGACTCTGACCCTCATTCATGGAGAAAGTTTCCCAGACTCCGGAATAGACCAAAATCCACGAAAGTGTGAAATAGATTATAGAGAGTAGTATAGTTATATCACTTGGTGAGAAACTGAGGTTTTGGGATTTTTAGTGTGTTGTGGATGGAAGCAAGATGGAGGGCACAGGGTGTCATCCTGGGTTTCTTCTCCATGCTTCTTCTTCCTCCTTCTCCATGGGTTTGGGTGGCATTTTGTAATTGGGCAGAAATTCCACATTGCAGCTCTGTGGGATCAGTTATTGGGTTAAAAGGGAAAATAATCCAGGTGTCAGTTCTTAATTGCATAGTTTAGTCTTAAAAGACTTTGGAACAAGAGCTTGCTGGCCATTTTGTGCCTTCTAATGAAAAGCTGCTGAACTCCCAGCAGTGAGACTGTTTTACTGATAAGAAATAATAAACCCCTGAGTCCAAACATGAACTACCATTCAAGTGCCTTCTACCCAGACCCAGAAAAATCAAGAACTGGGACCCCCACACCCCATCCCATCCCCTCTGCCTGCTCTGCTCTCTCTAGGTGTGCAGAGCTCAGCCTGAGCTCTTTGCCTGTTTGCCTGCGAAAGCTGCTCTGGGAGCCCAGGGCACTTTTTGGAGGATATTTTTATCCACCTTTGTCATCCAATTCAGGAGAAGATTCCCTCAGAACAAAACACAGGGATACAAATAGCAAGTTCTTAATTAAAAGGTATTTGGAAATAGTGACACATCTTAAAGGAGGCTGTGATAAATTTCTGAGGAAGGTTGCAGTGTTTTTCCTTTCCAACTGAACCAACCAAATCTCTGCTGGCTTTTAAAGATATTTTCTTATTTTAGGTTTGAATGGAATTTTTTTGGGGTAGTTTTCTTAACCTAATCTGTGTATTTGTGATGCTTTGCTGAAACTGTTTTCTTGCAGAAGATAAACTTGGTTGGTGACAATTTTTCTTTTATAAAAAGAGTCTGATGGTGATGGATGTGCAGCCTGAGGTTTGTGCTTAAGCATTAATTCTTGGTTGAGAATAACGCACATTAGGGTTTATTTTGGTTATGTGGTAGTATACCCCTCAATATAGGTTTATAAAGTGTAGCAAATCTCTCTCAATACTTTCAGAAAAGCCTTGCATAATTTTTTACATTTATTTTTAGCTCTCTGTAACCTGTCTTGCCTCTTTTCAGGCACCCATGTCATGGAAGGCTCTGGGCGGATGCTGGTGACTGCTGTGGGGGTGAATTCTCAGACTGGCATCATCTTCACTCTGCTGGGAGCTGGGGGAGAAGAGGAGGAGAAGAAAGACAAGAAAGGTAAATTTCCCATCACCAGGATGCTCCAGAGAAAGCTCCTGGGCTTTGTGCAGCCAGAACTCTCCTCCGCTCTTGACAAATACATGGGATTTTTCAAACTGCCTTTTTTTTTGTTTTTATGACACATTTTTATCATCACATGTCACACAGAAAAACAGCTGAAGCTGTTAACCAATAAATCCATTGGATAACAAGATGTTTTTCCAGTGTGAAACTGCAGGCTCCCAGTCCATACTGAATTGCAAGGGGATACCTGGGCATGCTCCAGTTGCTGTGGCTTCTCTACATGAATCCATGCTCACCTACAGTGTGCTAAGATTTTGTGCTTTTCTATCAATTCAATATTTTTTCTCCAGAAAAGAAACCCTTTGGCCATGGAAATAGCATCTGTCTTGGAGCTTCAGGATTAAAATAAAGATAAGCCGTGGCTCTTTGCTAGCCTGGTTGTTTAATGTCAGTGGCTGACTTGAGAGGCATTTTAATTTCTTCAGGTGTAAAGGTCGAGCTAAGAATAGTAAAAGCCAAGAATGTAGCAGTAAATGTTAGCAGACAGTTCTACTTTCATGTCCTGCATCAGTTAATGAAATCAAGAAGCCTCTTTGGGCTTTTCACCTTATTACAGTGTGATGTCATAAGCATTTGCTAATTTGTGGGCTGCACACTAAGCAGAAACGTGATTTAATGTCTGTCCTTGCCAGTTTTTCTTTGTGCAGTCTTGTAAATTGTTCTGCTTCCACAATTTCATTCCAAGTCTGTCCTAAGAATAGTTGTCTTTCAGACATGATTAAGGGCCAATTAATACAGGTTTCTCAGACATTTCTGCTCTTTCTAGTGGTCACTATTAATTAAAAAAAAAAAGCAGTTAAAGCTTTACTGAACATTTTATTTGCTATCTCTCAGGCAATATGATTCCACCTTTTTTTTTTTTTTGTTTCCATCATTTTATATGAATCTGCAGATAGGAAGGCCAAATTCTAATGGTTTTCAGGACTACAATTTCCATTTCTGAGTATGTTCAGTGTCTCCCTTTGACTCTTTGCTGCTTAGAGGAAATCCCTTTTTACTAAATGAAATGTTTACCATTTCATTTCTGCATAGAAAAGCACAATAGCTGCCAGGCATGGGGGGCTCCAGGAGAATTAAAAGGAGAAAAGACTGAAACCTCACAAAGCAAAACTCTTTTATGCCCGACCAGTTTGGAGCAGCACCTTGGAGTTTGCTCTTGCTGTCGTTCAGATCGGGGAGAGAGGAGGAGCAGCTTCACCCCTGTGGGATTGAGAGCTCCCTGGGCTGGGTTTAACTGGACTGGGCTCCTTAGGCTCTGCTCAGACACTGCTGGTTATTTCAGGTTTCACAGGGAAGAGCCAGGAAAGGCAGGAAAAGAGAAATCAGGGAGCTTTCTCCACTTTGTGGCTGTGATTTACCCAAAGATTCTTACAGAGGTGTGTTAGAATTTGGATGCATACACAGAATTTAGTTGAACATGGCTCTGTATAAACACCTAAAATATAAATAATCCATAATATAGAGAATTCCTCTACATTTTCTGATGCAGCTTTGTGCTCATGCCTGGGCAGAGCTGGTGGCAGATGGAGGTGCCAGCTCAAATGAAAACCTCTGGAACATAAACCTGCAGTTCTCAGAAACCCTGCCCCTTTCAGTCTGTGTGGGTGTGTGCTTTTATTGTTCATTAACACTTTAAAAATCATCATGCAGGTGTGAAACAGGAGGAGGAACAGCAGCTTCCAGGTAGAGTAAGAATTGTACCCCATCCAATGATGCAAATCAAGGGGGAACTGCTGATTGAAATAATCCTCTTCGAATCACTCAAGTTGAAATTAAAAAATGATTTCAAATCAACAAGATTGCTGGTGCCAAATCTTTTGGTGAGCAGGCATTGTTGGTGTTGCAAATCCTCCCGTTCAGCTGGAATAATCAGCTGTTCTCCAGAAGTAAATTGCAAAGTATTTCATGAGGAATACTTGATTTGCTGCTAGCAGCTCACGCTGTGCTGGTTAGGGTGGGGATCCAAACGGAATAAAGAGCGAGCACGAGTCACCAAAACAGTTTAAGTCGTTGCCACCACAGTAATCAAATTTGCAATTGAAATTTTCCTCCATGCAGTAGCACAGGGTATGTTTTTAAATCCTGGGAGCTGTTTATTTTCTTCTCCCAATTTGCCATTTGTAAATAAAATCAGTCCATTCTTCTGCAGTACCAGCCCAGTACAGCATGAAATAATCCCTGTGGGGCAAGGACTGGAGCAGTTTGAAGTCTCAGTCAGGATCCATGGGAGGACTTGGTTCTGTTGTGAGCAATTAACCACCAGAAACAAAACAAAATAAATTTTGGCTATTATTTGCAGAGACTAATTTTATTGAACTTCACGATAAAAACATAGTAAAATGATAAAACCTTCTTCAAGCTTTTCAATTTCCTGTTAGGAAAGATTTCTCGTCCAGTTTTTTCTAATATGTGGATAATGACTGAAGAGAAGAAGACGTTTTCTTTTCGGATTCTTCTTTCATGTCTTCACAAACCAGGAAATGTCTCATGTCCGTTTTCTGGATTTAAAATTATTCTCCTCAAGGCTATATTTGTCTTTTCCACATAAAATATAGGAAAATTCCATGTTTCTAATCAGATCAATGTGCATTTTACCTGGGTGATGGCAGGACATGGTTTGAGCCCTGTTGGACAGGGATGTATCAGTGATGATAAATCATAATGGGCAAAATTATTTAAAACATAAAATATTTACCACTCTTCTATGTAGAAGTATGTACAGATGTAGATACAATACATTTTTAAATGCAAATTTTAAAGCTACACAAACGCTGTATAAATTAACTCCAAAGGAAACATTTCAACCACTTTAAAAATGCATAAATTACATTAAAGTACCAAAAAATAACACATAAAAGGACTAAAGCAATGTACACAGGACTGTGTACAGCCAGTTCTCACCAGCTCCTTTAACTTTGCTAAATGTGTTTCATATTTCTCTTTTGTTATTATTATTGTTATTATTATTATTGTTGTTGTTATTTGAGTTTTCAGCTTACTTTGTGACACCTTCCCAATGCCACATTGCTTTGGAAATTTGTGTTAATTAATTTCAAACTCTTTGATTTTGAGAGCAAACAAAGCCACGAAGGCTTTTCGCTCTGTCACGTGCATTCGTTCGCGTTGCTGTTATTATTTATTTATTATTTGCTGTTTTGTTGTTGTGCTTTTTTGTTTATTTATTTTTTTTTTTTACCCATTATTGCTCAGTAGGTTCTTCCCATCCCTCCTCCCACCCTCCTCCAGCCACAGATGGTGCAGCAGGTGCAAATGCCACTGATAATGCAAATGCCAGCTTAGTCAATGGTACGTCACAACCCCCGGCTTGTCTGATTTGATGGATTTCTCTCCTGACTGTGTCAAATTCCCTCTCCCCTCGCTGACCTGCACAGATGTTGTGTTTGTGTGACTGCACTCTGAGAGATCCTGCTCCACACGCTCTGCAGGAGCTTGGCACAGGGGCCCCAGGGATGCTGCAGCTTCATGCCCCCAGAATTCAGCCTGGCAGAGGCAGAGTTTGGAATCGTGATTTATTTGCCATTTATTTGCAATTAAAAGAAGCAGTTATGTCAGGCCAGTTTCAAAACTTTCAGGCAGATTCACCTGATGTTTTATTATAAAGTTTCATTATTCAGCATAGATCTGGAGAAGAGCACCATGAGAAAGGGATTCTCTCTGCTTCTCCTCCTTTTCACTCATAATTCTCACACAGTTCTGAGAGAGGGCTGGGATCAGGGATCTGTCTCTATTTCAACCAACACCATGTTAGGAACAACTTTTGCTTTTTTCAGCGTCTGTTTCAGGAGGGACCGAGAAGTTTTGTGATATTTGTGTGAGCCCTCAGTGACTTTCTCCTGAGCCTGCCTGTGTAAACTAAACCCAAAGCAAACTATTCCTGCAGCCAGTTTTGACTCTGTCCCAGGACAGATTCCTGACCCTGCTTGTTAGCACGCAGATATTTCAGTGGCTCTCCTAACAGAGAAATTCCAGTGTTAAATTGGATTGAATGGGTCAATATTAGTGTAGGCATCAGCTGTATTTTGCTGCTAATCAGATGCATGAGCCTTTATTTGCCAAGCAACCTTTCCTTCTTGTGCAGAGCCAAAAATACTGATTAAAGTCATTCTACTTTTCATCACATTGGTGAAAAGTTTTTTTCCATGCAGGTTGCATTTCGCATCTGAAATTAGAGTTTCTGACAGCAATATCAAGTGCTAAACAAGGAACAGGATTTACTGCTGTAGGATCTTATTTAAAACAGTGACACAGGAAATCTTTAAGCCTATTTTCAAACCATTTAAAAGAAACATATAACCAGATTTAAAACCCATTCTGGAAAACTAGGATTTACAATCCCTACATCTCCTTGCATGGCAGGGGCCTCCATCACCCTGGTTCCAGATTCCCTAGAGGGCAAGAACCAGGGAATGAATTGTGTTTTATTCTCCATTGCTGTGAGGGTGCTGAGGTCCTGACACAGAGCAGCTGTGGCTGCCCTTGGATCCCTGGAATGTCCAAGGCCAGGTTGGACACTGGGGCTCGGAGCAGCCTGGGACAGTGGGAGGTGTCCCTGCCATGGCAGGGGTGGCACTGGGTGAGCTTTAAGGTTCCAACCCAAACCATCCTGTGATGGTTCTGTGATAATTCCACTTTGGTGAGTGTAAAATCCCTGCCAGCTGCACAGGAGGGATGGGAGCAGAGTTCAGCCCCTCTTTGCTGGTGCCCTGCAGGTGCAGAACGAGCCCTGGGCTCTTCTTAGAGCTGGGACCTGCCTGGTAAATCCCTGTTGTGTTTGGGCTTAATGCTGAGCTTAATGAGGAAATTGAGTTCCAGGGGATATTAGATCAGTGTCGGAATTAGGGATGTGATTTTCCATCATCCTCTCTCCAGTCAGGAACAACAGTTACTGCCCGTGTTTATCCTGGAGCTGAGGGATACAAGCTCAGGGCTTTGCAGTGTGGAGTGAATTTTTTTGTGCAGTTAAGGATGTTTTGGATTTTAGTTCCTCTGAGATGGGGCAGGTCAATAATTCTGCTGGTCTTTGATCAACAAGGGCAGGAGATGCTTTCCACAGTTCAACTGCTCAGAGAACTCAGGCAGGCAAGCGCAGGTCTGAGTGCTTTGGAATTATCTGGGAAATGGGCAACTCCAGATTCCTGGTAATTTCTCACTTAGCACTGCTGATGAATGCTGTACTGAAATGAAATACTGCATATATATGAAATACTGCTATACTGAAGTGAAATTGTGAAAATGTAGAAATGGTTTGGAGGGGAGAAAGGAAGGAGAGGATGAGTTACAAAGCAAGGACCCCAAATTCATCTGCATATTCCTTTGGTCTGGATGAAATGAATATTTTTTGTAAAGCCTGAAAATTATTCCTGAGGTATGACTGGAAACAAGAATTTTACCTACAGTCTTTGTGTAGGAAGTATCTTAAAATAAGAATTAATAATTATATACTTGAATAAGTAGCAAGCTCAGGAAATGCTGTTGCTTGAAAAATTAACCAATTACATTTCAGATAAAATATTTTCATTCTTAATTATCAATAAACAATTGACACAAAAGAGTTTGTTGTCAGCCTATGACCCTGTAGTGATAAAATCATTTACTTTGTGACCCAGCCTGTGTATTATGTGCTGTACTAAAGGAACTCTTATAAATTTTTATAAATGTTGAGTTTTAGTAGTTGAGATCAAAATAGAGAATTGTTGCTGATCTCATTATCAGAACTATAGACAATACATTAAGTTTTTGAAAGGTTGCAAGTTAAGGCCATAAACAGAGCAGAAAATTTTGCAGAAATGTAGTAATTCAGGAAAAATAATCTCATTCCAAAGTATTATATTTAGTAAAATTAACTTGGAAAAATGAAAATCAGGGAAGCAGCAATCAGTGTTTACAGCTTGTTTACCCCAAATTTGATTTCCTTGTAGTAGCTCAAATTACCCCAAATTTGATTTCCTTCCAATAGAGCACTGCCACCTTCCTAAATCAGGATTTCCAGGGTGGGTTGTTGGGGTTTTTAGGCATTTGTGAGATAAAGAATTTTCTACTTAAATGTGTGTTTAAAAAATATAGAAAAGGCATAGAAATGGCTGACCAGACTGAGAGAAATCTCTGCTGGAATATTTCACATCTACAGCTAATCCCAGTGCGGGTACTGAGCTACTTCTGCTCCTGCAAAGCAATTTGCAGTTTGAACTCTTTAAAAAAAATTATTTTTCTATTTTAAATACATTTTTAAATTTATGTTTTAATCCATTTCTGAATTGCAAGTGAAGTTATTTATTGAATGCATAGAAGGATTATCTAAAACTTCCTGTTTAACACAGTGGTTTCCTCTCAGCACTTGCAACATAATTCCATTATTTTCTTTGGTTGATTCCAAACACTTCTTCCAATTATAAATATTTCCAAATGAGGGAAATAATTTCCAAAATAGTGATAGGACTTTGTTATTCTGTGTCATTGGCTCTTCCTCAAGGACTGCAGCAGATAAAGGGGAGGCTTTTCTTGGGAATTTTGTTTGGTGAAGTCCATGCTTTTATAGTAAGAATTTAGTCAGTAAAGGTGCCACGAGTCCTTTCCAAAATACAAGAATTGTAGTGAGGCAAAAGCATGTGAAAAAATATTTATATTTAAATTCAGAACTTTCAAATCAACAGCAGAATGCAGATGTTAGAAATGTTATTCTGAACTTTGTCATCTTTGCTTAGAAAAGTGATGAAAAACTCAGATGGATTTCTCCAGCTCAAACAACACTTATTTTTTTATTATTCCAAAAGAAGAAAATATTTTCAGAATTATGTAAAAAAATACTGTATTTTTAAAGAATTATTTTACATGACGCTATCAAAATATTAATAAATACTCCTCCTTTTGACAATTCTAAATAATGCAACCAGGAGAGAAGGATGGGGGAGTATTTGTGCCTGGAAGGAGGAAGGATCTCTCTCAGCAGTGGTGATTCTATCACCTTTCTTTCTGCCTTCATTTCCTTCTTCATATTTTATACCAAAGTGCAGCCTTAAAATTATTTGGCACAAGAGGATATAAATAGCTTACAGTTTCCTTTTCTTTATCTTGATTACCCAAATTAGCTTCTCTTTGTTGTTCTGTCTAAATAACTGAACTGTAACTACCTCTGATGATTTCCCCCACTCAATAACATGCATGCAGTAGATTAAGAATATTAAGAATGTATTTTTAAAATACCTGAGTTTAAAATGTCATTAATGATTGTTTATTTTGTGTACTGTTATTTTCAGGTAGCCAGCCAATTGTTGGTGTAATTTATTATGATAATTATGCTATCAAATAGCAAATATATGTCCTAAAAGTAAATATTTTAATTAGGGAAAAAATGTTTGTGATTTGTCTGCCAGTTGAGACAGTCACATTTGAGTTTTGTTGGTGATTTTTATCATTTTGAAAGCTGAATATTGTTCCATTTTTTTTTTGCCACTCCAAGGTTTGTAATTGCAGTCTGCAAAAAGGATCTCCAGAGCAGGAAATGGAGCAGACTGCCTGCTCTAAATTAATGCCTTCCAGTTCTTAGGGATGACTTTATGCTCCAGCCAGAAATCCAGATCTCCAGAGATCTTTTGTGTCTTCCAGTAACTTTATTTAAAGCCCTTCTAAGAAAAACAGCCACCAGGCAGGTACTGAGTCCAACTGTGCCCCCAGGCCAAGATTTTATAGGGAATTTCACTGTGGAAAGGAGCTTGGTTTGCTCAGGTTCATGGATTCCTCTCTTGTGCAAAGTGTAAAACTCTGGAAGGTGGATTCTGAATTTTTAAAAGTCGTGTTATTGCCAGGGTAGGAATAGAATTAGAAATGCAGACAGGCAGCTGATGGCAGTGGTTCATTGCAGTAATTCACCTGAGCTCTGAGATTATTTTAGGACATGAAAGCCTTTCCCTGGCTCTGCTTCTGGGCTTTGGAATTTCCCAGTGTGACGCTGGGGCCTATATTTGACAAATATAACACTAATTTGGTCACTTTTGCTCTCCTACTTAATGCAAAGAAAATGTGCAAGAGATGCATCTTAGCTTTTCCATTCTGTTATGATTTATTCACAGCAGATCGAGAAAATTAATCCACATAGCAGTCAGAAGAACAAGATGTACCTGCTGGCACATTTTTTAATAAATCCTGATGGTGCATTTCTTAGTAGAATGTGTCAACAATCCTGTAATGGTATTTTAACTGAATTTTCCTTAGCATCATTTTTTATTGTGCATTTTACAGAACGACCAAAAGACATTGTCATCCATTCTGAGATAATGTTTGTTGTAACCTTTTCCATAAATTTATATAATTACTGTGCAAGTTTTGTAAGAAATCCCACCAAGAAATTTTTAATTCCTTTGAAAATATTTAGCTGTAATTCTGAATACCAAAGTTTTGTATCTGATTTGTACATTTTTGCCATTTTTATCTCATGCGCACTTTCAAATGACATTTCCACTTGAAAAAGGCACAAAGGAATGAGGACTTTGCTGTGGTAAAACTGTTGGTGGATAAAATGTCAAGCTGGAAATTAAAGAGGCACATGGTAAATCTATGTTCAGGATAAATCTGAATTTAGGTCACCTGGCGCTTGTATTTCCAGGAGAAATTTGCTAATTAGTACAACCAAGTGAGGAAGACATAATTTTAAAATCCTATCTGATTTCCATTTTTTATTTATTAATTTAGATTTATTAACACCATTGTTTCTATTTTTGTCAATTTAGTAACATGATTAATTTAATTCTGGAATACATTAGGAAAGCCAAACTCTATGTGTGTGCCAGAATTTTTAAGTCTCAGCCCTCTGAAACATCAGCTCAGGAATATGATTCCAATTCTTCTTTCCACCAGAACCACTTTATTAGTTTCCCCTTCTGAATTGATGCAGATTCCTCAAAAACACATGCTGATATTCAGCATTTGAGGTGTTCCAGCCCTGAGCTTGGCTGGAGTTCCTTGGCCCCTCTGTGAGTGCAGGTGTGAGGGCAGGGGATAGTGCCCAGGTGCCCGTGGTGTGCTCATGGTTTTTTGTCTCCCATTTTTATAAATCCCCATTTTCGTGTTCTGTCTCAGCTGAAGGTTGTTTACTGTCTGTTGTCTGTTGGAATTTTTCATCATTTAGGCAAGATGCAGGATGGGAATATGGAGAACAACCAGAACAAAGGTAATCTTCTTTGCTATTCAGGAGGTTGTGGATTGTATTGTTAGCATGTAGTTCAACCCTGTCCCAAAGTACAGTGAGAACCTGTGGTCTGTGCCTGTGTGTGAAACTGGCCCTAATTGTTCAGAATGTCCAAAAAACCCCAAACAGCCAACCCCAGCCCGAGAGATTGTAACTCCCACAAGCTGCAGAGGTTTAGGAGAGGAGCATTTTAAAGGGACCATTTATGGATGTTGCTTTCATCTCACCAAGCTCATTTGGATTAATTGTTCCTGTGCAAGTTGTGTATCCTGTGTGTTGTTAGTGATTTTCCAGCCCAGTTTTTTTATGTCTCATCATCTCTGGTGTCTGATGGCATTGTCTGGACATCTCTTCATTTGCAGGGGAAAGGCAAAGCAATAAAAAAAGGAAACCTTAAAGCCAAGGTGTTATCTAGCAGTGTAAAAGCCTTTTATGAGGATAAACAACAGGAAGATTGAGAGTCCTAGGTGTTTCTTATTTAATATACAATGTCAGGAAGAAATTGGAATCAATATTTTGCTTTCTCTGAAGCAAAGTTATGGTTCCCTTTTTATTATAAGACACAGCTATCAAGAGCTCTTTGGGTTATACCAAATTAAACGACAATTTTCTCTTCTCAGATAACATTGAACATTGTAAAGGTGATGGCTCAGAAACTGGAGAGAGAAACTCAGTGGTTCATGGTACAAAAGTACCAAATAAAATGCTATTAAATAATAAGCACTCAGGCTAGGTAGATAAATTAGATTTCCAGGTCAAACAAGCACAGTCTTGTACAATCTCTTCACGAAAGCAAAGCTGTTTCATCTCATCCTATTTTATTTATTGTGCTCAGTACAAACCAGACACATGCACATATATCCACTGCAATGTCATTGCTTTTCAGAAACAGGTAAAAATAAAGCTTCCTTCTGCTGGCATTCTGTCAGGAAAGGAGGGATCAGCCCTGAAACTGTGTGCGGGTTTTGTGGGGGAATGGTGATGCCACCACCACCAGACCCGAGGGCTGAGCACCTTGATCACGGAATGCTGAGGAAACTTTATAACTGAGGGATTTTCTGGAAGGGTGGATGGCAGAGGGTGGTCCCCTGGTCACTGAGGTGCCCCTGCAACCCAGAGAGGTGGCACACAGGTCACCTGTGCAGCCACATTGCCCTTAAAATATTTGCATTGGAAATGTGCATTGCATTCTAAGAGGCACCCCAAAATCCAGAGAAATGTGGAGCTCGGCTGTTGCAGGGAATGCTGCAGTGCTGGTGCTGTCACCTGCTAAGTCACCTGCAAGACATTCAGTGACATATATGTGTATGGCCCAGAGCATCATGGGTGGGGGTCCAAATGAGGGATAAACCCCAATCAGTGCTTTCCAGCCCAAATGCCCACGTGTCCTGAGGGATGTGCTGGCACAGCTGTGTCCTGCAGAGCCCTGCTGGCCCTCCAGGGAGCCGAGGGTGTCCCTGGCACAGACTGTCCCAGGCAGCCCCTGTGGTGCTGGCTGCTTCAGAGAGGATAATCACGGAGGAAAGGAAGGGATAAAGCTCTGGAGTGACAGTTTTGTTCTGCATTATCAGCCAAGCAGCAGGACGGGGCTGCTGCCATGGAGATGCAGCCGCTGAAGAGCGCGGAAGGGGGAGAGGGAGACGACAAGGACAAGAAGAAATCCAACATGCACAAGAAAGAAAAATCTGTCCTGCAGGGAAAGCTGACCAAGCTGGCAGTGCAGATTGGCAAAGCAGGTATGGCTGGGTGACACCAAAGCCCTCTGGGGCACAGGAGGCAAAGAGCTGCAAAGCAAATGGTTCTGAAAAGGGACAGGCCCTGTTTTTACTGCAATATTTGGAAATGGGTCATCACAAAGCTGTTCTAAGGAGAATATGTGGTACTGGAGATCTTTTATTCTCCTAAAAATCAGCTTTGACTGTCAAGGAGCTTTGGGCAACTTGGATTGTAATGAATATTTGAATCAAAATGAAATGCAGCTTTTCTCAGAGTTAATATTCCCAAGTGCAGTAATTACGTATTTAATTTCCTCTCCCCTCAGAACTTGGGAGCGCACAGTTTCAGAATCTCTAATGCCATCTCAAAATATCACTCACACAGTATTTTCCTCTCATTGATTCTGAAATCATTCTGTTCTCCCCAAATATGCACATTCCTGCCTTCTCCCCAAGCATGACACATCTCTGGACTCCTGTATCCAGAACCATCTGGCCCCTGGGCTTGGAAGCAGCACTTCTCCAACATGTGGGCAGAGAGTGGAAACCTTCCATAAGGGCCTAAAGTTCCTTAAATTTGCTTTTCTCGTGGTAATAAAGAGATTTTGATCTTCTAAAAGGGATTTTGATCTCAGCTCCTTGGTGGAGGCCCTCCCAGATCCCTTTACTCCTGCTCCATCTCCCTCAGCCTTCTCCCTCAGTTTGGATTTTCCCCTTCCCATCCCCCTGTGAGTTCATCCCAGGAGTTGATCACATAACCCCTCGATGCCAATTCCCTTTGCCTGAGCAGAGTGTGACCAAATCCAGGATTATCATCCCTGATATCCAATTTCATGCCTTGTCCCAGTTCATATTCCTCCTGCTCCTCTCCTTTGTTCCCCCGATGAATAATTCCTTGGATTAAATACCTTTCTGCACTGCCTTCACTTCTGCTCTGGCACGTGAACATCCCTCTTGAAGTAATTGTGTAGGGATTTCTGACCAGAATGTGGCAAGGAACAGGAATTAAATTAATTATCATTGCCTCATTTGGTTTTTCTTTGGTGTTAAGCAGCCTGTGGGGATGTCTTGTGTTGTCAGGAGTATTTCCCTGTGCAATATTTTAATAGATTTTCCTTTATCCTCTGGCACAGAGCGATCTTCCTGACTCATCTGTTTCCTGTCAACCTTAGCATCCTTCAACTTTACCAATTTTTCAAAAACTGCAGTTAAGACATGAAGTTCACAGCATTCTCCTTCTACTCTATGATCTCATTAGGGAGAAATTAATTTATTCCAAAATGCAGGCTTAATTCCATCACACAAACCTGCCAAACAGGGCTGTCAGAGCAAGGCAAAGCTGAGGCTATAGTGGAAATTTTATTTGTCCACTCAAACCCAGGGACAAAACTGTAGAGCAGGAGTCCTATCCCAGCAGTTGGGAGAGTGGATGGAATGCTTGGAACATTTTGTCAATTCTGTGAAATATTTGTTGGTGGCTCTGTCTCTTTGGAACCTCTGCTCATGAAAATAAAAACTCTGCAGATGTTCCCTTGAAAAGGGACACCTTGGAAACACCAGTATTAGTCGCATTTTAAAGGAACCCAGTGAAAAACTGTCCTGTGGATAATTCTGCGTTATTGCCTCTTTATATTCACCCACACTCATCTGTAGGGCTTTTCTACAGTATTTTATAGCAACATGGGAGACTCCTTTGCACAAGCCTCTAAAGATGTACTTACTTAGAAGAAAGGTGTTTAAATATGGATAGACAAGTAATTTGTAAAAGGTGGGGGTTAAAAGGACAGATAAATGTTGTACCAGGCAAAGTAATGTGCTAAATTGAATAAGCTTAACTTAAGTGACAGAAGAACTCCTGCACTGCCTGGAAAGTTGTAAAGGCAGCATAAGTGCTTAAAAATGAATTCCTAGAATTCCTTGTGCACTGTAAATATATTATGGCAATGTTTTTTCTTCATTGTATGGTTTATTGTTATTGGTACTGGTGAAACATATCACAAAGAAAGAAAAAATAATTTCCTATCAAATCCCAATTTCTAATTGCTCATGTTCTCAGTGCTGTTTGGGTTTATGGTAACTGGTGATTTCTCCTCCCAGGTTTGGTGATGTCTGCCATCACTGTCATCATCTTGGTACTGTATTTTGCCATTGACACATTTGTGGTCAACAAGAAGCAGTGGTTGCCTGAGTGCACTCCTGTCTACGTTCAGTATTTTGTTAAATTCTTCATTATTGGTGTTACTGTGCTCGTGGTTGCTGTTCCTGAGGGACTCCCACTTGCTGTCACTATTTCTCTGGCTTATTCTGTAAAGGTAAGAGACATTCAAAATAATCCAGGGAGAACAGTGCTGTTTGCTTGAGTTCACCACTGAGTTGGTCCTCAGGTTTTATCAGATGGGATGAAAAATGGTCTGAAAATTATGTGCTCAAAAGGTTCATGAAATTGCTTTAAAGAACACTTATATTGAAAGTATTTCTAACAAAAATGCCAATACATCTTTCAGCACATCTCCTTAAAACTGCACAGTGCAGGAATATCAAGCAGTAGAAATACCTACTAAATTTGCAAGGAATTTATTGAGCAGAATGTACTCTGAAAATAGTCCAGTCTTTTGATATAGAATAATTTTGTATTCAAATTTTCCTGTGCAACTATACAAAGTTTTGACAAGGATTTGAAGTCTTCAGGAGCATTTCTCAGAGAAATTGGAGCTTCTCAAAGAAATTAAGATTTTCACTGAAGCTTTCATGTACTTTTCTAAAATGCAGTTGCAGTTCTTTGAAGTCAATGTAAATGGTTCTATTAGGAAATTAAAGAGGATTAACATCCTGGACTTCAGGATTACTTGAGCAATTTAATTAGATGATTTAAACATTCAAGGAATCTTAGATGAAGATGGTGTAAAGTTGATTTCCATTTACCATGTAAACAAATTAACTTAGGAAGTTTAGGAAGTAATCTCTTGGCATCTGTGCAGCCAAATATCACAATTATTTAAAAAAGGAGCAAGTCTCAAAGATGGGGTTTGCTAATGAAGAATGCAGCTGCTTTGAAAATGTTTTCTCATTCTCCTGATGTCCTTCCTCTGATACCCATTCTCTTTTGCATTTCCCCCAAAATGTGTGGTCCATCTGTGGAATACCAGGTAACATCCTGGCATTCCAAGCAGTAAGAAAAAAAACCCAAATGTTTGCTATAACAATAATGTTTAAAAAATGCTGTTATCTCTGGTTCCTTCAGATCATCTTTGCTGTTCTAGGTGTTCCTTAAAATGCAAACCTACTGCAGGGAAATGATGCAACTCTTTTAGTTTATCAAAGGCAAAATTACCTCATGGAAGGGCAAAATTTCCTCAAGGATGGGCACAGCTTTGCTTTCTGTAACTGGGATTTGGGGTTATTGGCCCTCACCAAAGCTCTGCTTTAGAGGATGTTCTCACCAGCAAGACAAACTGTGGGCTGCTTTCCTTTTTACGACTAAAATCCTATCAAAGTCAACATTGAAGTGTTTCTTACTTGGGTTTTGGTGGGTGCAAACCTTCTGCAGGAAAACAATGCAATTCTTTTAGGTTATCAGAGGCAAAATTACCTCAGGGAAAGGCACATCTTTGCTGTCTGTAACCTGGATTAGAGGTTATTGGCCCTCACCAAAGCTCCGCTTTAGGGAACGTTCTCATGTGGGCTGCGTTGCTTTTTATGACTAAAATCCTGTCAAAGCTGACATTGAAGGGTTCCTTACTTGGCTTTTGGTGGGTTTTCCCCTCAGAAAATGATGAGGGACAACAACCTGGTGCGGCACCTGGACGCCTGCGAGACCATGGGCAACGCCACGGCCATCTGCTCGGACAAGACGGGCACGCTGACCACCAACCGCATGACCGTGGTGCAGGCCTACGTGGGTGACGTCCACTACAAGGAGATCCCCGACCCCGACTCCATCCCTGCCAAAACCATGGAGCTGCTGGTCAATGCAATCGCTATCAACAGTGCTTACACTACCAAAATTCTGGTGAGTAGGTGCTTGGGTTTTTTGGGCAGTTAAGTGAGGCCTAGCAGTGATGCCTTGTGAGGGCTGAGCTAGAGCAGAGGCTGGGCAGAGTTAAAGAATAAAGCAGGGATTTATTAAAATGATCTCCTCCATGGATGCACCTTGGGCAGCACAGAAGCCCAGCTAGGGCTGCACCCAAGATGAACCAAAATGGTCACACAATGGTCAACTGGTCACAGGTTTTCTCACTTTCATTAATTTTGGTCGATTAGCATATTGGAATTAATTGTCCAATTACAGTTTTAGGTTATGAATCTCATCCTTCTTGTTTTTCTCTCTTCAGCCCATGTTGTTTGTGCTCCTGGGCTGAGATTTGGATCATTTATCCTTGGTCCCCAGCTGGAGCAGGAATTGTTTTGTCTCCCTGCTCTGTGCACAGAGCTTATTATTCCCTTATACGAAGCCCAGACCTGTTATTTTTTGTTTGTATTTTCTACTTTTATTAAGTTTGGGATTAAAGGTACTTGAGACAGAATTTTATGTTTGGACATAGGTGTTCATTATTTATCAGTGAAAAAGTCTTACAGCTATGAGTTTGGTAGCTTTTTATTAATAAGGCACAAAATGCCTAACTAATTACTGAACTATATTTTGTTACTATGTCTTTTAAGACTAAACTATCTAATTAATAAATGACACTTAGATTATTTTCTTTTTTAACTTAATAACTGATCTTTTGAAGCTTGCAAGGCAGACTTTTCTGTTTTATTATAAAATACTACTTAAACTCATGAAGAAGAAGGAAGGAAGTGAAGAACAACTTGCTTCTACTCTAAAACTTCTAATTTGCTTCATATTTATTTTTATATTATAAAACTCTAAGCTTTAGAGTTCTAAACTTTTAGAGTTTTAAAGTTTTCTAATTTGTGATATTACACACTTTTAACTAACTACACACTTGTAATCTTAGTGCTATTACTTAATTTTGTAAGTCTTTCCTACAGCTTCAGGTTAAATGTAGTGTTTTCTTGTGTCTGTGCCTTTCAGCACAGAAAGCTTAAAATTTTCAGCATCAGGATTCTAACCCAGACCCACACATGAAAGCAGCACAGAATCTGAAAAATAAAAGGTAAAACCTCAGGTATCAGCAGAAAGAGGTGAATTTTTTTTTTTTTTAGTGTTAATTCCCTAATGTGTTATTGTAAATGATGAAGCAATAAATACTGTTGAGGTCCTCAAAATGAGAACAGGTGCTCTAAAAATGGTGTATTGTATTGTTTTTTTCAAGGACAGTGATTTATTTAAGAATGCAAGACCATGAGACATTTAAAAAAACTCGTACTGAAATTAGATTTGGGTAGCCCAGTTTTGGTGCCGATAAACTTGGGAACACAAATATGTTGGTAACCCATCTGGTCTTCACTGAATCTTCATGTGTGCAAAATGATTTTTATGTGTCTAAGAAATTTCAATTAATGCTCAGAAAGCACAAATTGGATTGGTAAATCAGTGAGCTCAATGACCTTTATCCATTCTGGTTTCAGGTGAGTTACATCCTAAGGTATTTTATTCACTCTGTGCAGGAGGCCAGAGTGGAACATATCCTGTTTGCTTGTGGCATTGGCTTCTTTTGTACAGAACTAATTAAGAGACTGAATTTTTTTGCAATTCCAATAGATTTGTTCTTTGAAAGGTCAAGCTGAATGTTACTGTTGCTGTACAAATAGATTTTTTACTTTCTAGTTTATGAATACAAGTATTGTCCTTTTTATAGGTCTGTGCTGAGCTGCAGAATAAAGTCAGATGCGTACTTGATGTTTGTTTTAAAAGTGTTCTCTTAAAATGCAATCAGAGAAAACAAATCCTGTGTGATAACTCAGAGTGGATATTTTATGGCAGCAGCTCCTTAAATTTCATTTGTTCATTTCCAAACCGGCAAGAACAGTTTGTTTTGTTTTTACTGGGTAATTCCTGCTCTCACAAATCAATGTAATATTTGATTGCTGGGGAGAGGAAAATGCACCTTGGTTATTTAAATGTTGTTACAGCCTCAGTCAGCTCAGGTGCTTCCTCCTGGCGAAAGAGAATAAAACACCTGGAAGAGGATCAGGACAAGGCAAGGGGTTTGACTTTGGGAAGGCTTTGGGAGAACATTCCCAGTGTCAGCAGAATTTTCCTTATTCCCAGGGAGCAGCAGGGCAGGCAGGGGGTTGGTTTTTCAGTCAGGTGTGACTGGCAGAGGCTTATACAGAGTTTTATATTTTGCTGCTCATTCTGAGATCAAAGCCAGTACCAAAGTGTTTCTGCTCAGCTTCCACACCAGTTCACCCCTCTGAATCCCAGAGTAAATGGGAAATCATCAGACTTTCCACATCTGCAATATTAAGTGTATTAATCTGTCTTTTTCTTGTGGTTTATGGAAACATTTCTGGTCAATACTAGTTCTAAAATGGTCTCAATATAATTGTTTTTTATTCTGACTTGGCTTCATTGTTCCTTGTTGGAATTAGTTCTATGTTCTTATTTAAAAGAGTCAATATTTCAGCATTTCAGTGCTTTTTAAAATTTGCAGAGACTGATTCTAAGTTGATAAAGGGGTGAAATCCTCTGGATGCAGATCAGTGACTGCTTGAACTTATCTGTTTAAAATTAATGGAGATCTTTTAGATCTTATGAGCTAAAGCTTTGCAATATGGACTCCATGAGAACCACAGCTCCAATCTCAGGGGATTTCATTTTATTCACAGTTTATAACAAGCTGACCTTTAAGTTACAAGATATTGTTCCATAGCCCATTTTGCATCCCAAATAAATACAGTAAAAAGCACCTGAGGGAGTTGTTTCCAGGATAAATAGACAGAAATCTTTTCCTTCCTGCTAATACAGAATGCACGCTCGTGTGCTCGTTCTTGCAGCATGTTTAATCAAATTGTGAATTTCAGCTGAAACCCAAAGGGCATTGGAAGGGTTCTGTCGCCAAGAGTGAGTTTTGCATATTCTATTTTTAGCTCTCCAGCTACATGTGTGCTGTAAATTGCTCTTTGTGTGAACTTCTGTTCACAAGGATCACATATGGGACCATAAAATTAGTCAAGATGCTCTGCTGAATTAGAAATATTCCCTCTTGCATTGTCTTTTGATTAAGGGGCAACTGAACCATTGATAAAAATATAAAAAGGGAATAATATCAGTGCTTGGCATAAAAGATTTGAATTTCCCTGAGAAATTAAACACAATTTATTCCAACTGAACAATAGCATCATTAAATATAGCTCTTTTTACTGCTTTCCAAGATTAAGTTGCTGGGTGAGCTGATTTTGCATCCCTTTAGCTTCAGAGCAACTTTTTCTGCTGTTTGTGGGAAAGGAAAGGAAAAAGGAAAGAAGGAAATTTCAGGAAAGGAAATTTCAGGAAAGTGGGGAAAGGAAAGGAAATGAAAGGAAAGGGAAATTGGAAAGGAAAGGGGAAATTGTGAATTGGCAGCAGAGGAGTTTGCAGGAGTTCTCCCCATTGCGCTCCTCTACTTACAGGGTGCTTTTCCCTGTTTTTCTGCACCATGTGTGCTCCACCAACCCAAGCTGTGTCCAGAGGGAGCTTTGCAGTGCTGGTGTTGGTAGAGAAGGGCTTGAGGGAATTTTGGTGACAATTCAGCAGTGACCATCCTTCAGCATGTTTGTGTGAAGCTGTTCTCCAGCAAACCTTGGTGTTCAATATTCCTGTTTCCACACGGAAATAAATTCAGGCTTTGTGCATTTCTGCCTGAGAGCTGTGGTGGGGACTGCAAAGACACTGAGAGCAAAAATTGCATTTTGGGAATCCTTTGATTGCTCTTGGAGCAGGAGAACATTGATCTTGGATGCCAAGGAGCAGTGATGAACCAAAACCACTGATTCCAACTTTCTGTGCAGCTCTCGCTTTCATAATTCCAGTTTTAATTAGAGAAGAATTTCTTCTTTTAATTTCCTGGCTGGGTGTGATGTGCCTGATTAAGAAGACACCACAATTAGGGTTTAGCTGAGGGATTTTCAGCACCAGTGGAAAAGTCCCAGCTGGAGCTGTTACTGTGAGGATCTGACACCGACTTTTCATTTGTTACTTGATGGGTGTGAGGGATAAAAGGCTCATTTTGCCCGTGCTGGGTGAATATTTGAATTTTTAGTGCTGTTCTGGCTGTGATTTGGTACATTTTCACAGAGTGGGGCAGGATCTGGTGGCAAACCTTGAGCCAAAGGAAGAAACGTCACAGGAAAGTGCAAACATCCACTTCCTTCCATATTCAGTCCCTTTTCCCAGAGGAAATAAAATAAATTATGCTGGTGTATATGTTAGTAAATATTCATCAATTTATGAATGTGAGCTGGGAAGGCTTTTGGGACAAAAAAGCTGTTATTGGATAAAACCTGAAGGGAAAAATGAAATAAAACACAAAGAGTACAGACAATTTTATTGCAGCTGAAAGGCAGAGCAGGTAATAATAATATATCAGACACCCATAATATATAGAAGCCATAAAAAGCAATGACAGCCTACAAAGGTGAAATGTTGAAAGGAGAAAAAACCAAAATTTTAGCACAATCTTGCTGCTTTGCAAGGATTGATGGAAATCTGTTGCTGGTATTGGGAACATGGATGTGGTGGCCAGGTGAAAGTTCTTTTTATTTGGGAGAATATATTTGCATCCCAAGCAAGAACAGCTCTCTGATTGTTGGGAGACACAATGTCCTGTCAGGAGCAGCCTTTGAGAAGGTGTGCAAAGTGCAAAATATGCCTCTTTCTTTGAGATTTATTTATTATTTTATTCAAAGACTGAATTTTATTCATCAAATACTTGAATAATCTTGACTTTATAGAGATTATTTATTCATTTTTTAATTCAAATACTGAATTTTATTCATCAAATACTGCAATAATTTGAAATTTTAAAAAAAATTTAATCAGATAAAAAATAGTCCCAATAATAATTATATGTATATGTGTATATATATATATGTATGTATATATATATATATGTGTATATATAT